AGGGTTGACCGATCTCGAAATGACTTCTCACAGGCTGCACACTGGAAAGGCTTTTCTCCAGTGTGGATTCTCTGGTGGTAAATGAATAAAGATTTACGGCTAAATGATTTTCCACATTCACCACACGCATACGCCATGGTTCTAACATGACTTCTCTGGTGTTGAATGAGGCTGGACCTGCGGCTAAATGATTTTCCACATGTACAACATCCCAACACCTCTGAGCCTGTGTGACTCCACGTACATTTTTTCAGGTAAGGGTAACCGTTCAAGAATTTTCCACATTTGCTATAGTCATAAGGTTTCTCTCTAGTGTGAATTCTCTTGTGTTTATTCAGGTGCGAGTTACGGCTGAACAGTTTTCCACACTCACTGCACCCGTAAGGCCTTTCACCCGTGTGAATTTTCTGGTGTCGGAGGAGGGTTGAGCGATCACGAAATGATTTCCCACATTCCATACACGCGTAAGGCTTCTCTCCACTGTGAACTCTCTGGTGGTATATGAATAAAGATTTCCGGCTGAAGGATTTCCCACACTCGCCACACACATATGATCTTTCTCGGGTGTGAATTTCCTGGCACTGAACAAGTCCATCGTCAAAGCGAAAGGCTTTCTCATGTTGGTCACTTTGCTCAGGTCCTTCTCCAATGCAGACACTCTCTTGGTGAGGAAGAGTATGTCTGTAGCTAGACTTCCTACATGTATCCCACGTGGAGAATGTTTCTCCACGGTGACACTTGAGGCTACTGGGTGGCTCTTCACTACCAGGAGCCACCTGGTACTGTAGAAAGTGCAAGGTTCCTACAAAGTCTTTCCCAATATCCCCACAGTCGATGGGTTGCCCTGACACGTGGTATCTGCCACTCTTCAGAAAAAAGGCCCCATCCGTGTCTTTTTTGAAGACTGTCTGTTCAATGTGAGGTGTCAGGTGCTGGTAAAGGTTTACTTTCATCCAGAAGCAACTCACAAACACCAAACATGGATTCTGCCTAGGGTATGTTGCATGCTCTGCCAGGTGCAAAATGTCTTTCAAAACTGGGATACTCATCTCCCACAACTGCATGTTCTGGGTGGGTGAACCAGCAGTCCTGACCTGTGACAGTCCGTCTATGGAAACATTCTGTTTAGGAGATTTCTCCTCATCTTCTGTTCCAGGCCAAACACCTGCAAGCACAGAAATGCTGATGAAACGCATGCTGGCTTTGCTCGGAGGGAACAGTATCATCACAAATGTGCATCAGACATAACATGGAATAGGTCAAGAGCTGGAGAAAGCATTTCCAACATCCGCTATCCTCACAGCCTTTCTTCTGTGTGAATTCTCTAGCAATGAACAAGCGGGTACTTGCCCAACGGATCTGAGAACAAGCAAGCTGTGAGAACAGTAACAACTGGGCTTCCTTGCTCTACTAGGATTCTGAGGATTACAAGGACATGAAGGCGAGGTAGCAGGATCTCCTACTGACGCCACTGAAAACCTTCAGGACATTATTACAGGTGGTGAACGTGACAATGCTGCTATTCTGGTGAAGGGTAACTGTGAGGTAATGTCAGCTAGAACAAAAGGGGAGATTCTGGGCACAGGGGTGCTGTGACTGTAGCCGAGCAGAGTACAGAAAGGGAGCTCCACAAAGCTGGAATGTATAACCCCTGACGCTCCCACACTTCACTGCATTGTTTAGGCAGGAGATGTCGAGCTACTCAGAGCAGAGAAACCAGAAGTGTGGGAAGAGGGCAGAGCTCTGGGAAAAGGCACACAGGACAATGGGGAGGGACTGAAGGCCTTACCCAGGGAGGCTAGGACTGCAAAGTTCTCCAGCATCACATCGCAGAACAGGAGCCGCTGAGCCTCATCAAGCAGGCCCCACTCCTCCTGGGAGAAGTCCATGGCCACATCCTCAAAGGTCACAGCACCCTGTCATGACAAGACAAGAGCCCACTCTCTGTGATTAACGTCACTGCTCAGCAGCCCAAGTTCATCCTGCCAGATGCCCAAGTGCATTGCCCCAGTCTCAGAAAAGATGCCGGCCTTAGTACCATCAGGGCACTCTCTCTCCTAAGGCCACGGGCAACCCACAGAAACACACGGGGAGTCACACAGATTCCACTGAAGTTCTGGGTTGAGCATGCAGGGCTGCACCCTAGTTTTATGGGCCATTCCCTGGGGTACCCGTGAGTGTATCTCTTTGACAATCAAATGCAGACGTGTCTTCATCCACAGGTAAAATCAGTGTCTGTATGTTCACTAGATCATGTCACACTTTCCCACACTCTCTGCAACATCAGCATTCCTACAGGCTTTAAACCCTCTCTACCCCAGACTCTACCTCCCAGCCACTCCACCTAGGACTACATACAACGCGTGGCATGTTCAAATAAAATCTGGTCCTGTCTCAGATCCCTTCTGGTGTGTATCGCCAGAGAAAGCCCACGTACTCTTGTCAGTCCTCCTCGCCTTTGTTCGTTGCTTCAAAGCCAGCTCCTCAGAACCACACATGCGTCTCAGATAGCACTGGCCCTCTTCCTCTCACACTGCACTTGCTGTTCCACAGCAGTCACAGCCTTCCGTTCAACAACTAACCACCATTCAGGCCAATCCAGCAGCCCTGGACAAGACGCTTTCCTGAATGGCCACGGCATTTAGACCTAAAGCGAACCAAAAAGCCCTAAAGCACGTCAATCCATGTATTACAACATCCTGGTGCACCTATGTGGTTGTTATGTGCCATCGAGTCGCTTGCGACTCATAGTGACCCTCTGTACAAGAGCTCTAAACGCCGTTCTATCCTGTGCCAACCTCACCGTCTCAAACACACTCATTCCCACCACTCCACTCACAGAATCGATCCATCTCATCGAGGGTCTTCCTCTCCTGCACCGCCCCTCCACTCTCCCAAGCATGATGTCCCTCTCCAAGGACCAGTCCCTCCTTGTAACATGCCCAAAGTATGTCTGACGAAGCTTCAGAATCTTTGACTCCAAGGAGCATTCTCCATCCTTGCTCTTCAGTACTCTTGAGAGGTCCCTGACAGCTGACTTTCCCAATGCAATTCATCTCTTGATTTCCTGGCTGCTGTTACCAAGAGTGTTGACTGTGGAGCCAAATAAACTCAAACTGTTAACTATCTCAATCTCTTCACCATCCATACTGATGCTGCCAATTGGCCCCGTGGTGAGAATCTTTGTTTTCTTGATGTTGAGCTTCAAATCATATAGAAGGCTGCAGTGCTTGACCTTCTGCAGAGCAAGTGCTTCAGGTCCTCCTCAGTTTCAGCAAGCAGGGTTGTGTCAGACCAAGACTGATGTCACATGAGACGCTGAATATTGCATTAGAGCACTGAGAAGCCAAAGCTAAAGGAAGAAACCAAGAAATCAAAGAGCTGAACAGAAAATTTCAAAAAGTAGCCCAGGATGGCAAAGCAAGATACTATAATGAAATGTGCAGAGAGCTGGAGTCAGAAAATCAAAAGGGCTGAACTCGTTCAGCATTTCTTAGGCTGAAGGAGCTGAAAAACAAATTCAAGCCACGGGTGGCAATCCTTAAGAATACTTTGGGTAGAATGTTAAATGATTCAGGAAGCATCAAGAGAAGATGGAAGGAGTACACAGAGTCACTGCATCAGAAGGAATTCGCTGACACAGAAGAATCTCATGAAATAACATATGAGCAAGAGCCCACGGTGATGAAGGAGGAAGTTCAAATTACTCTGAAGAAATTGGCAAAAAACAAGGCTCCAGGAGTTGACGGCATACCAATTGACATATTTCAACAGACACTGCCCTGGATGTGCTCACTAAGTTGTGCCAAGAATGGTACACCTACCTATACTGTGGTGAATAAGGACCATCCTTGTCTCCACTATAAATGTTCCTTTTCTATTCCTGGACATCTACATCCACCTCATCCAGACCTCTCAAACCCTCCTCTCCTCTAAACCCCTCCTGGCCATTTTTCTTTCTTGCTCACGTTTATGACCCACACCACTCATCAAGAGGTGCCTCCCCCCAAAAAACAGTGCTTGGCTTCCAACCTCATCTCCCTAGCAAATAATGAGTTTTATCACCATGAACAGATTTTCTCTACTTAAAAGGGAGGCACATGCTATTACTACCTTTGGAGTTATCTCCATCCTGAGCCTTTCTTCAGAGTTCTAGATCTTTATAGTCCAGCTGCATAAAATTCCTTTTTAGTTGAATTAATACAGTCAACGCATTACTCCTTGACAAAGTCATATTCTGAATAAGACCAAAACAAAATCTTCTGATTCCTAACAGAAGTTAACTCCCACCACAGACTTCCTGCCTCATTTAATGATGTTTCTATCCTCTCCTTCTAAGATAAAAAAGTTTGTCTCTCACACTCAAAATAACAGCAAAAATCCAAGCAACTCTACTTACATACAGATGCTAGCCATGCTTGCCTTTTACCGTGGAGTCCAGGAAACGTGAATATGCACCTCAACTACTGTAAACACCCTGGTTCAGCCACAGGAAGACTGATGACACGTGGATCAGATCACTTTCCTCCTCTTCTCCAAAACTCCCATTATTCCATCACTTCCAGAAAAGATACTCAACTTGAGGAAGCCATTCCAAGCCAGATTCCTGCCCCCTCTTCCCATGAGAGAGAGAAAAAGGGGTATGAAGTTCTCTGAAGAGTATAATTTAGTATCACCTCCTTGTGTAAGCTGGTAGATGGTCTACATACTTTGCTGCCTTGTTGTTATGTGCCGTCAAGTTGCCTGTGACTCAAAGTGACACTATATACAACATCCTTAAACCCTGCTCTGTCCTGTGCCAACCTCACTGTCTCTGACACACCTTCCCCCATTATCCTAGTCACTGAATCGAGTCACCTCATCAAGGGTCTTCCTCTTCTGCGCTGTCCCTTTACCCTCCCAAGCATGAAGTCACTTTCCAAGGACTGGTTCCTACTTGCAACATGTTCAAAGTATGTCAGATGGAGCTTCAGAATCCTTGCCTCCAAGGAGCAGCCTGGTTTCCCCCTCTCCTGGATGAACCTGTTTGTTCTCCTAGCAGTCCATGATATATTCAACACTCTTCTCCAGCACCACATCTCAAAGGCATCAATTCTCCTTCTATCATCCCTAGTCACAGTCTAGCTTTTTAATGCATAGCACATAATTGTGAAGACCATGGCCTAGATCAGGCGCACCTTAGTCTCCAGACTGACATCATTGCTCTTCAGTACTCTGGAGAGGTCCCTGATAGAACACTTTCCCAATTCAATTCGTCTTTTGATTTCCTGGCTCCTGGTACCAAGAATGTGGATTGTGGAGCCAAACAAACACACATCGTTACTGACAGCACTGTATTTCAGTAAACTCTGAAATATCCTTTTTAATAATTAACGTCATGCTACTCCTCTGTCATTCCGGGCATATATGCATGTGTCCAATTTAAAATGACCAACAGCAGTCCATTTCAGCTGACCAATGACTAGCACATCTATCTTCAAACATCCTACTGCATTTTTTGTGACTTCCCATTTTCCCAGATTTGTTCTATATATCCTCCATGTTCCAAGTATTAATGAATTTTGCAGCTGTTTGTTTTCAAAGTGAGTCGTAGCAAACCAGGGTCTCAAATGCATTACTCCATCCACATCACGACCGTCTCTACTCTGAGGAGGCATTTCTTCCCCAGGTTTTTTAGTGCCTTCAAATGTCAAAGCCTCATCTTCTAGACCTATGTAAGACAACGTTCAGTTGCTGTTCTTAAGATTTCCACTACGCTGTTATTTTAGAGATGGATTCCAAGTTCTTTCGCCTAGTCTGTCTCAGTCTAGAAGTTGTGCTGGAATGTATCTATTTGAAATATTAGCAGATGCCTTCTAGGATTATGCAACAGTCAAAACAACACAATATGATAAACTACCAAACCAGTGTAGGTGAGTTCACTGTTGCTGTCATGTTGCTACAGGCCACAGAGTCAGAACTGACTCACAGCTGACCTTACAGCAGGCTTTCTGAGGCTGTAAACCACACGGGAGGAGGGAGACCATCTTCCTTCCACAAAGCAGCTAGTCTATTCAAGCTGCCTTCCTCGGATTTGGCAGCGGAATTCCTTACCCACTAGTCTCCAGAGTTCCCTAGGCTAGCTACACTAAAAACATTTAAACTGACCAAGAAGACTCAATCACGGAAGACTCTCCAAGACTCATTCTGCTTGGCACACATACATCCTGTCCTACAGTCCCCTCAGTTTAACTGTTAACCGTCCAGATGCAATACCTTGTGTGAACCTGCAGTTTCCTCTAGAGGACCTGTAGATACTAAATTCTACCTGTTTGTCTGGACTTCCTACCCGCTTAGAGTCGACCTTTAAATACCTCCAAGTGTTTGTGCACAAGGTTCCCTAGGCCCAGAATAACCTTTTTCCCACTTTATTCAACTGGTAACAATATGAACTACTCTGTACTGCCAAAAGAACAAACAAGCATGTCTTTGGGAGAGTGCAGCTAGAGTGCTCCTTGGAGGCAAGGATGGTGAAGCTTCACTTCACACAGTTATGGTGCTAGGAGAGGCTACTGCTTGGAAAGGCAAAGGGTCAGTGAAGGAAAAACGACTCAACCGATGGACAGACACAGTGACTGCAGCAAGGGGCTCAGTGTGTCAGAGCCGATGAGGACGGCAGAGGACAGGGTATCAGAACCGATGAGGACGGCACAGGGCAGGACAAGGTGTCAGAGCTGATGAGGACAGCACAGGGCAGGGTGTCAGAGCCAATGAGGACCACACAGGGCAGGGCAGGGTTCAGAGTTGATGAAAGGGCACAGGGCAGGGCAGGGTGTCAGAGCTGATGAGGACAGCACTGTAAGGAGGAATGTGACATTCGGATTGAAGGAAGACTCATCAACAACCTGCATTATGCAGATGACACAACCCTGCTTGCTGAAACTGAGGAGGACCTGAAGCACTTGCTGTGGAAGGTGAGGGACTGCAGTCTTCAGTATGGATTGAGGCTCAGTATCAAGAAGACAAAGATTCTCACCACTGGGCCAATTGGCTGCATCAGGATGGATGGTGAAGAGATTGAGATCATTCACAGCTTTAGTTTGCTTGGCTCCACAGTCAACACTCTTGGCACCAGCAGCCAGGAAATTAAAAGATGCATCGTGATGGGAAAGTCTGCTGTTAGGGACCTCTCTAAAGTACTGAAGAGCAACGGTGTCACTCTGGAGACTAAGATGCGCCTGATACAGGCAACGGTCTTTCAATCACTTGTTATGCATCAGAGAGTTAGACAATGACTAAGGAGAATAGAAAGAGAATTGATGCCTTTGAGCTGTGGTGCTGAGGAAGAGTACTGGATATACCATGGACTGCTGGGAAAATAAACAAGTTTATCCCAGAGAGGGCTTGCTCCTTGAAGGCAAGGATTCTGAGGCTTCATCTGACATACCTTGGACATGTTGTAAGGAGGAACAAGTCCTTGGAGAGGGACGTCATGCTTGGGAGGGTGGAGGGACAGCGCAGGAGGGGAAGGCCCTCTATGAGGTGGATTGATTCAGTGACTGGGGTAATCGGGATCGGTGTGTTGGAGACAGTGGCATTGGCACAGGACAGAGCAGAATTCAGAGCTGTTGCATCGGGGCGCTATGAATCGCAGGCAACTTGAGGGCACTTAACAACACCACCACCAACATGATCTCAGCTCCCCTCATCTCCCACACTCACACCTCGGGTCTGCCTGGCCCCTGGGTCATTGCATCACCCGGTGCGGCCCTGCAGGGAGGAGGTTCCTCCAAGAGACCTGACAGCACCGCGTTCTGTCTGCACATCTGTCTTCCTAAATGCGCTTGACGTGCAGAACCTGACACGTGGTCCCCACACCTTCCCTTTCCTGCAAATCGCAGTGTCTCCAGGCGCTTGCACCCTAAGTTCAGGGCGATGCTGCCACAGCATGCACCGCCCGCCCAGCCTGGCCCCCGCCCTGTCCGCCCACCAGGTCTGTCCACTCCACCGCCCCAGCCCGGTCCGTCCATCCCACGGCCTCAGCCTGGTCCATCCACTAACGATCCCGAGCCCTAACTCTCCCTCCACCCCGGGA